TTATAAGCTTCTCCAGAACTTCTCCAAACTCTTATTCTTCCATCTGATTCAAAAAGAGCAAATCTGGACTCATCAGACCATATTATCTTTTTCCATTCATCACCCCAGTTTCGTTTCTCTCTACTCCATTTTAACCTATCCTTTTGCTGTTTTTGGGTTAAAAGGGGTTTCTTACGAGCGACATAACTACCAAGGCCTTCATCATGAAGGTATTTTCTAACAGTATTATTATGCAATGTGGTATCAAGACTAGAGTTTAATCTGCTTGTTATATCACTAAGAGGAGCGAACTGATTATTTTGAACGATACGTTGTAGGGTCTGTTTATCACGTTGATTAAGTATTTTAGGACGACCAGGACGCTTCTCAGGTATTGCAGAACCTGTTTCTTTGTATCTTTTTATAGTATCGTTGACAGTGCTAGTAGGAATACCAAGCTGAGTTGAAATAACCGTTTGCTTGGTACCACTCAGATATGCACCGATAATTCTTTCACGTTGAGCTTCGGACAGCTCGTTTCCACGCATTTCCATTTTGAAGAAGATAAAGAATATGTATGTATTATTTTTTTTATTATTTTTATGTACATTAGGGAGAAATCGCGATTTTATTACGGACGCGATAAATCACGTGATTATAAATCCGGTAATTTAATGTAGGTTAGTGTATACCAAACTTCTACTTCTGGAAAAAGGATTTTCATACATTTAACTTCTTTACATTTCGGCGTAAAATTTAATTTAATCAATTAAAAATAATTTTTCCGTAAGTTCTGAATTATGGTTTGCAAAAATTATAATAAATTACTAAAGTTATGTTTCATTTTCATAATGATTCATTTATTTTTTAGAGTTGAGTCATTTACGCCTTGTATGACGTTATGGTCATTCAACTGTCTTTGTTGGAACCAGACTATATTTTTTTGGTGGAAAAAATGAAAGAATTTGTACAAATGAAGTATTCTATCTTGATTGTCTCAACGATTTGATTCGGGACTTCCGCCATGGACCGACCTTACATTAACTTCAAGAATAAGTTTTAAAAGTTGTTGGGCGACTACTGTTGCATTAAATGTTAATAATAATAACCCAACCATATACCTTATTGGAAGATTTATGCTTGATCAAGATTCATTGACCTCATTCATACATATCTTTAATCCAAAAACAGGGCAATGGAATGTGCCTATAAGTACAGGAACAGAGCCAATGAGACGAGGATATATGCAAGCTGTTGTTGATGGTTATATTCGAAAAGCTTATGTTTTTGGTGGAGCTGATAATTTCGATGGACCAGAAATTACTCAATATTTTAATGATATGATAATATTAAATTTCAATAATCTAACGTGGTCTTATGGTTCTAAAGTTAATTCTCCTTTAAAACGAATTACATATACGGCAACATTATTATCAAATGGTATCATTGTATATATTGGAGGCTGGGAGGTACCAGAATACGTTGGACGTGAAGTAGATATTAACCAAATTAACCTTTATGATACAAGACATAACGAGTGGTCAGTAATGGTAAGTATATATAGTTATTATAATTACTTTGCTTAATATAATTAATATAAATTTTTTCAAGCAAGCAATAAGTAATGAACAAATTGAATCACGCTATGGTCATTCGGCTGTATTAGGTATAGCTAATTAACATGTTGCAATTATTTATGTTTTAACAAATTTTAACATTATATATTATTTATTTTCTATAGTTCATGGTGGAAAAATAATTATAAATGGTGGGTTGAAAGGCGAAGATAGTAAATCGATTAAAGCCATACCAGACCTGGCTGTTTTGAATACTCAAACGACTCCATTTGAATGGATCGTACCACAAACATCATCAAATATTGGTGAATTTCCATCACTTGCTTACCATACAGCAAATTTAGTGGAAAATTATATGATTGTTGCCTTTGGTAATTATCCTTATACGTAATATTTAACATCTATACTTTGACTATCCAATAAATAAATGATTTGATGTAGGTCTTCTTACTCACAAAATGGATTGACACAAATTTCTTCGTCGAGCAAGATTTACTTGTTAGACACTAGAAACTATACTTGGGTTGATAAATTTGAACCTATGAGTATATATGAGCCTATACCTTCAAATACAAGCTTTCCGAATTCTCCTTCAACAATAACAACCACAAGTTCTCTAAAATCTAATGATGTTGTAATTGATACATTATGCGGAATTTTAGTTACCGCGATTTTTATGACAATTGGATTTATCGGATATAAATGGTATCAAAAGAGAAAACAAAGAGTAATATGCGGTGTCATTAGGGATTAAGTTGCGGTTGACACAGTCGCAGTCAATGATGTCATAAGTGTTTAATATGAAATTAAATTAAACTAATTAAACATGTCTTCATATTTAACATGTTTATTAATTATTTCAATATCTTAAGATTTTGTATATATAGTGATCTTGGTGTTGAATGTATTTTTTTTTAGTCTTGGGAAAGACTTTAACATTTTCGTGTTGTCATAAGATTATAACAGATTAATCGTGACACTATATACACCTAGAGACGAGAAACTATTAAATATTCTAGACCAACATATATACATAATTCTAGCGATTGAATTTTTCATCATTCAAGCCCAAAATTGGAACAAGTAAAACGAGTATTAATGTAAATTATTTTTTTTAATCAATAAACGATAAATTTTCTTTCTCTTTATAAAAATAGTAGGTAACTTTTTAGTGACTATGTATAAGTTTATGAAGTACGAGTACATTAAATTTGACCATTATATTTAGAAAACATTAGAAAATCTCATGATTACTCGTAAATATTATATTTAAAATTATTATTATTATTATTATTGAGTATTGATTGTGGAACCATATTATTATTTTTAATATTATATGTGATAAAGTTTAATTGAATATCATTTTTATCAGCAATCTTGGATAAGTCATTAAAAACCATTTATAAAGTTCTGTCATTACCAGAAGAGCTCATGAGTTTCTACAGTTCCAACAGAAGCATGAATTTATATAGTAGAAAAAATATTGTTGAAACTGTTTTAAATAATCCAAATTATATCTTGAGATAAATATTAATATTATTTTTTTGTGGTAAACATAAGAATTCGTCCTGTTCAATTATATGGTCTTTAACTAAAAAAGATTCTCCATTTAATGTGAATCTGGGATATTAACTTCTGCTATAATTTGTGATTCTGGTGGTATTTCTACTTTCTAATTCGAATATTTATCTACGAAGTGCGTTGTGTGATATTATTTTGTATAATTTGTATAGGTTATTCTAGTTTCACCAACCGTTTTTTGATTCCGTGATAGCTTTTTCAAAATTAGTACTGCTGGCTTGAGGTGTATGGTGATTAATATGATTTTTTAGGTAATGTGAACCATTAGTTAGTATCCGGCTTTTACACTTTGTTTTCACAACACCAAAAGTATTTATCGTTTACCATCAAATATTTTGTTGTTTCCTTTTTGCAAAGGTACAAGTTCACAAATCTCACTCAATTTTTTTACATATAGATTTAAAGTAAAAAACATTTTTGGAATAACTGTACTGAAACAATAATATGAACAAAAGAAAACCCACGAAAGAATACTTTTTATTTTGATCAACTGATGGGGCTTAAAGGTAGTATAAACATATCAATTTTTTGACCTCATGATTTTTTTTTATTTTGATTTGTATAGGAGTACCAGATCTTATTTTAATTTGTCAGGATCATATAATTTTGAGTATGTCGGGATTTTGGAGTCGGGATCTGGACTGGGAGTCGGGATGACGTCGTAAACCCTTGCAATTGAAAGCCGGAAAAAATCAACTTTATTGCAAAGGTCCATATTATCATTAATAATTTTATATTAAAATATAGCCTAGTTATATTACCCGAAAATTGACCTAATTAGAAAACCTTAGTTCTCAGTAATTAAATATTATGCTTATAAAATATTGCATTTTCTTTGTCTTGAATGGTTCTAATTATTGTGGCGCCAAGTTTAATAGTAAAAAGAAAGGAAATTAATAATTAATAAAAATCTCTATTTAAAAAATGAATGCTTAAAAGATTTACCATTTTCTATTTTGCGCAGTTTGGGCTAATCAACGATCTTCTTATTATTGCATACGAATTAAAGTTTTTTTTTTTTGCTTGATTATCGAGAATAAAAGATAAAAAATTGCTTGTTCCCACTATAAATAAATCGTAAGGCGTCAATCCGCAATAATCGAATATTTCTTTTTTAGTTTCCACTTTCCTTCTCGAGTACTGGTAATATTTTTTTTTTAGATTTGGGTTATTTTATTTCTCCTTCGATAACTTTGGGTGAAGCGACAGTTGCTTTAATTTTTTCATGATGATTATTAGATTTCTTACATTATCGTTTTTGATTATCATTTTTTTTATTTTAGGGATTCACAACAGAAGGTAGTTCGACCTGCTGTAATAAGGCTTTTTCTAACTTTTTTTTTCTCTTAATTCTTTTCAACGAATTTTTTTTGGCATTAAATGCTTCAGGCTGCATTTTAAATTAATTTTTTTTCTTTAGGCGATTTTCTTTAGGGTTGAATGGCTTCAATTGTCATAGGCAAAGGTGTTAAATCTTCATTGATTATTTAATCCGGTTGGATTGCATCAATTATTTCTTTATTTTCTTTAACCTTTTCACTTTCGAGTTGACTTACTTTGTAAGCGCCATATGTACATTTTATTTTGTTTTCGTTTTAACTTTCAGTTCGATTACGCGTTAGCTTCACTAAGATTATTTTTACAAATATCTTTTTTCACTTTGACAACCTTTTCGAAATTGTGCTTTAACAGCTACAAGAGAGATTTTGGTTGGAACAACTTTGTTTTCGTCATCTTTAGGTAAGTCATCTATCCAAGCTTGATCGGGGATTTTTAACTTCGGAAATTTTAAACCTTCGGGATCGAGCTTCAGACTTTAGTACCAGATCAGATAAAAAGATCTGTATATTTGGTAGTACGAATATACGAATAGTTATACAAAATTTTGGTCCAGAAGTACAAGAAAATAATGTTACACAACCTTTACTGAACAAAGTAATTAAATTCGGCGTATTAAAATGCAGTGTAATTTAAAATTTGATAAATAAGGGAATAAAATAATTTTCTACCAAATAATAATTTTTTTGAAGTTAATTATTTACTATTGAATTATGGATTGTAAACAATATAATAAATTACTTAATTCCATCTTCATAATTATTCATTTGTTATTGAGAATTGAGTCATTTACTCCTGTAGGACGTAATGGTCATTCAATAGTCCTTGTTGGAAACATACTATATTTTTTTGGTTGAAGAAGCGAAATAACTTGTACAAATGAAGTATTCTACCTTAATGTATCTCAAAAATTTGTTTCAGGACTTCCGCCATGGACCGAACTTACATTAAATTCAGGAATAAGTTTTGAAAGTTGTTGGGCGACTACCGTTGCAGTAAATGATAGTAATAATAACCCGATAATATACCTTATTGGTGGATATATGGTTGACCAAAATAATAAAGATGTTTTTGCCTCACTAGTACATACATTTAATCCAAAGTCCGGGCAATGGAATGTACCTATAACTACAGGTACAAAGCCGATGAGACGAAGAAATATTCAAGCCGTTGTTGATGATACTGGAGCTATTTATGTATTTGGTGGATATTCTTTAGAAAATAATCAAAATTTTAATGATATGATAATATTAAGTACTAATGATTTAACGTGGTCATATGGTTCAATTGCTAATTCTCCTTTAAATCGAGATTTATATACTGCAACAATATTACTGTCAAATGGTATGATTGTATATGTTGGAGGTGTGGAAATAACTAATGATAATATTTGGCGTGATGTAGATATTAATCAAATTAACCTTTATGATACAAGAAATAATAAGTGGTCAGTAATGGTAAATATAGATTTATTTATTACAATTATTTTGCTTAAATCCATTACTTAAAATTAAAAAATTATTTAAGCAAGCAGGAAGTCTTGAACAAATTGAATCCCGTCACAGTCATTCAGCCGTATTAGGTATAGATTATTCAAATTATTATTTAGTATTGAACATAATAACATATAATTATTAATTGTATAGCTCAAGATGGGAAAATAATTATAAAGGGTGGGGTTAAACTCGACGGTAGTAAATCCACACCAGGTCTGGCTATTTTGAATACTCAAACAACTCCATATGAATGGACGGTACCGCAAGTATCATCAAATATTGGTGAATTTCCATCACTTGCTTATCATACAGCAAATTTAGTTGATAATTATATGATTGTTGCTTTTGGTAACTATTCCTTATATGTAATATTTAACATTTCTATTTTGAATCTTATAAATAAATGTTTACATGTAGGACTTATTGCTCATACGACTGGATCAGAAAAAATTTCTTGGTCAAACAAAATTTATCTGTTAGATATTAGAAACTATACTTGGGTTAATAAATTTGAACCTACACCTCCAAATTCAAGTTTACCAAATCCTCCTTCGACAACTATAACTACAACACCATCATCTTCTCCAAAAACTATTGATGGTCAATTAAGTACAATAAGAGTTGTAATTGGTACAATAAGCGGAATTTTAAGCACCGCAATTTTGATGACAATTGGATTCCTTGGACATAAATGGTATCAAAAGCGAAAACAGAAAGAAATTATGAGAATTTCCGGTGATTTATAACAATAATTTATAGCAATTATGTATTTTATTATTATATTAAAAGTATGATTAAATAATTCGGTTAATATTAACATAGCATGAATTATATTATGAGATATTAATCTAAATATACTAGTCAAAAATGATAAATTGAAAATTATTTTGATGCTATAAATGAACTTATGCTCTAATCAAAAATGTATAACAAAAAAAAATTAGATAAATTTCTTCAATATGCTATTAACTAGTTGCTTTATAAAAATGAAAATTTTTAAAAAATAAAAAATAAAATTATCTGATCTGGGTTTATTATATTGGAAAATTCGTCTGATTTACGATGAAGTTTATTCAGGTTCCAAAAATTAGCTCTAAAGAATATAATGATGCTTATGAACAAAGATTAAATGAACTTGGAATAATTAAAATCAATAAGTGAAAAAATAAACTTTGGTTTATTACAGTCTCTTAATGATTGAAAGAAGTTTGGGTATGAGGCGAAACTCATTCAGTAATTTATATTAACAGAGGTGAAAACCAAAACTCGTAAGCATATTCAAAAATATTCAGGCAAATATTTTGTTAATATGAAATTAGGCGATGTATCTGGTTGACGTATATTAAATGGAAGCTAAAGAAGTTATTTTAGATTATGTGATGATTGATGAAATACCTAAATTCAAAAAAAAGTATATACAATCGTTATAAAATTAACACACTATAATAATAAAAAGTAACCATTACGGTAATACATAGGGATGGTGATGGTACTCATGGTTCCACATCGGTTCTCCTAAATTATATTAATTTATACAAATAGAGCTAGAGCGTGTGATATAAGCAAAATTTATTTTGACTGGTTATCAAACAAGTTCGGTATAAACTTTCTTAATTTGATGAGCCGTCGCCGGTTGGTAAAAATTGTTTGTAACTCAGGTAAATTCAGAATATACTGAATTTAGAATCAGAACCCTCCCTATATTACACGGGCTTTTTTAGCTTCCGCCGATGATAGTAGTAAAAGCCACCATGTCCCTGCCATATTAATATTAATGACATATAAATAATATTTTTACCAGATTCATACATCATTGATCGATCCAAATCTTATCTTTTATATGAACTAAATTCCTTTTGTTATAAAACAAAAGTATTGCAGTCAGTGGTAGATGTTATTTCAATGAAGTTAAATAGCAAAAAGCTGGTACAGAGGAACATATTATACTTCTGCGTAAATTATTCACAGAAACATGATGTGGTCCTACAAGATGAACAAAAGACTTTGAATCGATCAAGTATACAAAATAATTTCCAATTTCCAATTCCATACGAAACAAGGTTGGTTACCAAGCCGTAGGTATAGTTGATTAAAATCACACGCTTATTTCTTTAAAATTGACTTTAAGTAACTTTCGATATCTGGTGATTTATCTCCGTAGAGGTTATAAAAATGATGTTGGATTTCTAAAGAATCAGATAGACGATGGCCCTGATTTCATTGGCTTTTAGATCGAATTTGTGGTTTCTGATTCTTACAGATGCCTCAATATTAGTTGTTGTGTCTTTTACACTAGTTTATAATTGGGCTTATTTTTATGGTTAAACCATCTTATGGAGGAAAGTAATGGCTGTTCACCAAAGTATTCTTTAACTTCCTAGCTCATTCTCTCTAAAATTCCTTTCTTTTAAATTCCCTTTACTTTCTTAAAATATTCTATTCTCTCAGCCTTTTCTTGATCTTCATTCCTTCGTACTTCATTGTCTAATTTATATTACAACATCTTCAGCTTTCCCAAATCCTTCCATATATTTCTTTTACTCAAATGATGTTTGGTAAGTCCAAAAATGTTCGCCCTTTATTTTATATTAATTATCTTTAATTTATTTGTAAAAACAACCACTGCACATTTTTAATCTTTGTAATCTTTTTGAGGTTCTTTTTATTTCTAACTTTCTCTAATACACTTGAAAGCTTTTTAATTGATATCATCCATTCAGAAATTCCCGTAAGAAAAAACTCATAAAAGAAGCCCACTTTTAATTTTTTACTTCGTATTAATAAAATTTAAAACTTTGAGATGAAGTAATAATTCACATCGCTATGAAAATTTGCCGTTAAAGTTGTAAATTGATTTTAAAATTACGAGGTTGTGAAACCTAGACAGTAATTGAAAAAAAGCTTAGCTAGTTGTGTAATATGATATTGACCTTTTGGCGAAGAATCATTTATACAATACCACTATAACATAGGGGAGTTATCAAATTCATGTTGTAAATCAAATGGTGGATCCCGCTTTTATATAGTAAAGTTTTTATTAATTGTGATTCAAATATTAATTTATAATAAAGAAATTAATATGGAAATTTTATTGGTTTTAATGCAGGAACTGTTTTATTTTAGTCTAATGCGTAGCAAAGGACATTATGGTTGTAATACAAATTCGCATTTCAGACATTAATGCAACATCTGAACCTTTAAATTCTTCGCTGTAGGTCATTTGACTGGCTAGAAATATTCCAAATTAAACTTTAGTGGGAGATATTAAATTAAGTCTAAATAAAATTCTCTTCGAATATATTTACATTCTTTTGGAAATTCTGATTATACTAGAAATAATTACCTTTCAATCATAAGTATGAGATCTAATTTTATTTTACTATCTTTACTTTAATACGTTTATTTAAAATGCTATTGTAGAGCGTAGCAACATCACAGAATTTAGTAGCAGCAGCAAGCACTATCATCACCGATCTTGAATTGTATCGTCATGTGATAAATAATTTTTACTAATTATTATTATTTATTAGATATAAATTGCACGCCCGGAATGTTAAGATGACGAATTAATTTGTGTTAATAGGATTTAAAAATTTCAATTTCAAAAAATGAAAAGAAGGCTAATTGTGTCATCTTTGGCAAATATACCCTTAAAATAATATGAGTGAAAGTAATTTAGAAAAGATATAAAGAGATAGATTTGGAAAAAATAAGAAATTAAATTTGATTTGTATTCTAATATTTCGATATTTTCAGCATGCAGTACAATGGTCACGTGACTCCGATTCCAAAATTGATTTTGCTAAAATTATTTGTTGGGTTGATAAATTTGTACCTGAAAGTATTCCTCAACAACTTTAATTACAACTACTTCGGTTTCACCAAATAAATAATGACGTTTTAATTGTACATTAGTCGGAATATTAGGTACCGTGAGTTTTAAGACAATTAGAATTCTTGTTATAAATGATCAGTATACGAAATAACAAGTAATAATGATTTTTAATATACTAGTACTGATAAAATTGGTTCAACATTTTCATGCATCCAAGTTATTACTGAAATACCAGTAAGGTAATAGTGAGTGGTTTTCTGCATTTTTAGTTTTTTCAATGATACTGAAACTAGGTATAGGAAGATTGACATCTAATATCATTCAAAATTTAAGAAATATTTATTTCGTTGCATAAATTTAAGTTATTATATGAAATTCTTTTTAAATATTTTGTTAATGCAATAAGATAATCCGTTTTATATTCAAAAAAAATGCATGTTAAATATCAGTCACGAGATATAGTAAAACGTATATGAAACGTAAAAATAATTATCCAAAATGCTATGGACGAATTATAGGATCGAAATTCCGGACATACATTTTCATATCTATATGGTTACTCAAATCGAGTGATTTCAATTTTAATTTTATACATAGACTTCCTTAAACTAAACTTCATATAGCAATGATTTTAATAAAAAAATTAAATATACATAAACATGTGATAATAGCTTATTTGTCTGTTTTTTTATTAGCATTTTTTGCATTGCATATTTTAAAGCAAATAAACATAAATGTATAAATTAAAATAATAAACATTTAATTGTTAGTATTACCAGAAATTCTCGTATTTTCATTTTGTTTTCGCTTTTTGTACCGTTTATAGAGTATTACAATTATCATAATAATTGCAACACCTAAAATTATGCATATAAAACTAATTGCATGTATTACTACCGGAATAACTTCAGAATTAGAATCAGTATCAGATTTTTTATCATTAGAAACAACTTCAAATTTATCAACCCATGTATAGTTTGTAGTATCTAACAAGTAAATTTTGTTTGACCAAGAAATTTGAGTCAATCCATTTTGATGAGTAAGTAGACCTACATGCATAATTCAATAAATCATTTATTTGTTAGGTAAGTCATAATAGAGATGTTAAATATTACGTATAAGGAGTAATTACCAAATGCAACAATCATATAATTTTCAACTAAATTTGCTGTATGATAAGCAAGTGATGGAAGTTCATCAATATTTGATGAAGTTTGCGGTACAGTCCATTCATATGGAGTCGTTCGTGTATTCAAAACGGCCAGGTCTGGTATAGCTTTAATCGATTTACCATCATCGCCTTTCAACCCACCATTTATAATTATCTTTCCATCTTCAACTATTTAAAATAAAAAAAATATAATGTTATCATTTGTAAAGCATAACTAATAACAACATGTTAATTAACTATACCTAATACAGCCGAATGACCATAGCGGGGTTCAATTTGTACAATACTTATTGCTTGCTTGAAGAAATTTATATTAATTAATTTAAGCAAAGGAATTGTAATAATTTCTTATATATATTTACCGTTACTGACCACTCGTTATTTTTTGTATCATAAAGGTTAATTTGGTTAATATCTACTTCACGTCCAACGTATTCTGGTATCTCCCAGCCTCCAATGTATACAATAATACCATTTAATAATGATGTTGCCGTATATGAAATTCGTTTTAAAGGAGAATTAACGTTAGAACCATAAGACCACGTTAGATTATTGAAATTTAATATTATCATATCATTATAATATTGAGTAATTTCTGATCCATCGAAATTATCAGCTCCACCAAAAACATAAGCTTTTCGGGCATCATCAGCGACAGCTTGCATATATCCTCGTCTCATTAGTTCTGGCCCTGCAATTGTAGGCACATTCCATCGCCCTGTTTTTGGATTAAAGATAAGGATGAATGAGGTTAATGAGTCTACACTATCTTGATCAAGCATAAATCCTCCAATAAGGTATATGGTCGGGTTATTATCATTATCATATAATGCGACAGAAGTCGTCCAACAACTTCTAAATTGTATTCCTGAATTTAATGTAAGGTCGGTCCATGGCGGAAGTTCTGTGTTAAATGTATTAGACAATTCAAGATAGAAAACTTCATTTGTACAAATTCTCTCATTTTTTCCACCAAAAAAATATAGTCTGTTTCCAACAAGGACAGTTGAATGACCATGACGTACTCCAGGAGTAAATGACTCAACATTAAGGAACGAATGAATCAATATGAAAATGAAACATAACTTTAGTAATTTATTATAATTTTTGCAAGCCATAATTAATTAATTTAGAATTTACAAATAAGAAAATTTTAAACGCCGCAAAGAAAATCCTTTTCCAGAAGTAGAACTGTATATAAACAAATTCTTGTGTAGATCATTTTCATATTAGAGCGTTAAATGATTTTGCTTAATTTGTATATTTATTCTGCAAAGAAGTATTTTCTAATTGTAGTTGGTCCATTTTAGCTCGTTTAGATGTTTATTTACTCATTTTCCTTGTTTTTAATAGTTGTGCGATGAATTGTATTAAGTTTTTACATCTTTAAAAAAAATGTTATTTATTTCGTTTTTTTTTTTAGTATTTCCAATAAAAATTTTCTAGGTGGTATAAATATTACTCAATCATCCCCATTTGAACAATTAATATAAGTTATATATCAATATTTTAATTTATTAAAATTTAAATTTTTAAAAAATTAAAAATTTTGAATTTTGAAAAGGTTCAAAACTTTCTCATACAAATTTTGTATAGATTATTTCTAAAATTTAATTTTAGAATTTTTGATAGATATTAAATAAAAATTTGAGTAAGATAATAAACTAAAAATTTAACCAAATAGAGTTCATTTATAATATAATAATATGAATTAAAAATCTCATTTTTGGTTAGAGAATCTCATAAACAGATATAATTAGCTTGATTCTAATATATTATTAGTATATATTTTATTTTGTTTATAATAAATAAATATTATTTTAGCATTATTCTTATATTTTCTGTGAATTTAGTATTCAAAATTCAAAAATAAATTTTGAAGTTTTTTCCTTTCTACTGCAAAGTATTCATATTATCTAAAATTAAAAAAATCATCAGTATAAAGATTTAACAATTCTTTAAATATAATTTTATTTATATATTAAGTTAATAAAATTAATTAATTGGTTTTGTCTCAATATTAATGATCTACATTTTCACAATATTATATTAAATTAAATAATACTAATCATTAGTAATACAAATTATTAAATATGAAAATTAATAATAAAATAATAAGAAAATATTAAAATGATAAAAATTAAATATTAAAGATGGTCACCGCAATTAAAAAAAATGGTGCAATTGAGTTGCAACTTGTGACGCAATTAAATTTTCTTATGGCGTAATTAAGTTGCAACTCAATTGAAATTTGAAAATAATTATGGGGACCATCTTTATTAAATATATTACAAGAAAGAAAAAGAAAATTTAAGGTATATATATATAATAAAAAAAGTGTAACTGTAAATATTGAAAACAGGATTATATTAAATATAATAATATTAAATATTTTATTTTTTAATATTATGTTCTTTTTTATTAAACGATTATTTTTCCAAGTTTTTATTATATAATAATCTATAATAGTTTTATTAATAGAAATAAGATAATTCATTTTTATTAAGAAATAAAAATTCTACATATTTTCAATTTTGTCTAAAAAAAGTTATAAATAATATTTTATTTTAATATTATTTTAATATTAACCAAATTTTTTTAAAATTTACTAATTAATTATAATTGTAAATAATTTATTAATTAATTTGAAAGGTTATTTTTAATAAAATATAATCAGATAAAAAAAAAAATTTATTATTATTAAAGAATATATTAAAATATGCAATATGATATTAATTATATTTACTAATACTTTATTTTTTTTATTATTTTATTTATTATTTATATTTATTTGTTATAAAATAATATACTATAAGTTTTATTTACTTAATCTAAATCTAAAATAAAAAGTTATAAATATTTAGTATATAATAAAGTATATTAAAGCATAAAATATAAGCATAGTTACAAATTATTTTTTAAAAATAGCAATTAATTGTTATTAAAAAGTATAATATTCTTTTTTAAGAAGATTTTTTATAACTTTCAAATAAGTTAAACTAATAAAGTAATTTAATAATGAATAATCCTGTAATTTAAGAGTAAAGATATCTAATTTAACTAAATAAAATACTAATACTAAAGTATTTAAATCATCAAAAATGCTATTATATAATATTATTTATACTGAATATTTAATCTTTATAAAATAAAATTAAATAAATTATTCTTTCATTTTAAAATTATTAAATATTATTCTTTTATTATTTATAGTATCTAATGGTTATTTAATGCTAAAAAAATATATAAAAGTATATTGTATACCAATATGATTATTTAAAACTATCGCCTTTAACTAAATTTTCTTCAGCTAATTTTTTAAAAATATTACCTGTAATATAATGAATTTAAAATAATAATTAAAAATATTTTAAATACCGCAAGATAAAATTTCTTAAAATAAGTAATTAAAGTATTATAACATTAAGCATTCTATCTGCAAATAAAATTTTTATGTGATACATCTAATATTTAAAATGTTTGAATATTTTTTAGTAATAAAATTGATGAGTATTTTGAATATTAAAACCAGCATCTATTACAAATAGCAGATATTTATTCTAGACTAACCTTTTCTAAAAACCAAATATATTATTCAGTCAATAGTTCTTTAGAATGCCTTTTTTAGATAATTTTCAGATATTCCATAAATATTGAGAATAATCAAATGTATGTAAACAAAATTTCAAATTGATTCATTAGAAGAATTGCTTCATCAATCACAAAATAATTAACAATTAATTAAAATTTAGAATTATAGTTTTATAAAAAATAATAAAAAAACTTAATATTGTTAATTTCTCAGAATTTTTTAACTTTTTAATTATTTATTGATAATGCAAACTGTTTCTTGTCTAAATGGTGTCCAAAATGAATATCCTTAGATGGAGGACGTAAAGTTTAACAGTTCAATAAAGAAAGGTTTTCAATAATGTGAAAAGGAATTCCACAAATAATAAATACTTTAATAATCTCTTTAATACTTTCAGGCGTTAAATTTGTACTTTCAATATAATCGAAAAGGTTTGTTTAAGTTGGTTGGATTGTTTATTAGTTTTTCGTTTTTTGAAGAAGAAGACTTGCTAATTTCACACGCTTTTATTGCTAAAAGTTCTAAAATATGTCCCGATTTCTGCAGGATATTTTCCGCATAAATTACCTAAGTGGTCTTCAAAAGTTTCCGGTGAACCTTTACCCAAAAGTTCCATAAAAAAATTACATGTTGCAGTTATGATTTTAATATATTTTCCCAAACTATTGATGAAGTATTATCATTTGAAAAAGTTGGATTAGCCAATGCATGTATGTTTGTCACAAAGTGTTAATTTATTCGATTTTCACATGAATAATAAAGTTTCGGATTTGGACAGTCAATCGGACATTTTGGAAATTTACGTTGATGCTTAATTAATATCGTCTAAATTTCGGGCGTATTCGCTCAAAACCATTAGTTTCTGGTAAATATTATATATCTAAAATTATTTTAGTAATCCTCTATATAAAAAGAAAGAAGTTTTAATATTTCAATTTAAAATCTATTTATTATTCTGATCAAACATCGAAAACCTCAGTGTAATATATATAATTCAAACAAACAATTGTCCATTTTTTTTTTTTTTTTACCATTCTAATGTATTGAAAATATACAATTAAACTAAACAATTAGATTAGATGATAAGTTTTTAGATCATATAATTTTACATCTTTCAAACAGCGATTTACATTTTTAACGAGTTTTCTTAAAAAACGTTGTGAAAGCTCATGTTTGATAGTTCATATTCCAAAGAATCCATTTAGGAAGAAAAAAACGTAAAAAGGTTATTTAATGGACCATCAACATACCGTATGAAAGTAAATTACTGATGGCACAGAATTTCAATGAAAAAAATTATAGCATTTTTTTGTTTTCAAATATATATATTACACGAATCTAAAACTTCAGTTCGTCGT